ATTTACCAAAGCAAGCAAGTAAGGTTACAGAAGCAAAACATAGCTTTGAGTCACAAGAGCCTAGGCAAAACATAATCTTAACTTGGTCAGCATGACCAGTCCTGTCAATGCTATTGATACTATTTATACTTAATTACAAAAGTCCTTGGATTACAGAAGTCAAAGTACAACCTTGGGTGGCTTCAGCAAAGTTTGTGGTAAACTACAAAGCTGCCAGCTTGGTAAACTTTAGTGAGGGAGAGATGTTATTTTTCTTTTTAGCAAGGATGTAAAGGGGCTAAGGCTGATCAGTAGTCAGTTAGCTGGTCAGCCTCAGCCTGGAGTTTTTTTTTACCAAGAGGTTTTGCCCTTTATCAATCATTTTGTTCTATTTTCTGATTTCACATCTTTGTTCTCATGGTTATCTTTATCTTCCAAGGGAAAGGGGGGCTCAGGGAAGAGAGTAAATTTCCAACAATAGGAGGGACTGAGGCCAGACAAAAGGAGGAACTTTCAGTTGGTGACTAGCAGCTCAGATATCACATTAAATGTACAAAAAATTGTTTGTTTTCTTGTATTTACTAAAACTTTATGGTTTCAATTCTGAGCTACTCTGGTGGAAGTTCCATGAAGAATGCCCATTTTGCTTTAGGTGGATGGAATAGTCTGCATATGCCTGTTATCTATTTGGTCTTTGCTGGAAGTTTGCTGTTTTTTCACCTAGATGATCTGTCTATTGATTGTGGGATGGTAAGTCACCTACTGTTATTGTATCTGGACCTATATGTTCCTTTTCCAGTGGTGTTGGTTTTTTGAAGTTAGGTATACCCAGGTTTGGTGAATATACATTTAAAATTGTCATACCTTAATTACTTTCTGGTGGGTATCATTGTTGCAATGGGTCATCCTGTATCCTTGTTTCAGCATTTTGTTATTTCCCTTCCCCTACCCAAATTAGACAAATGTATATGCAAGATGCAGGTTGCCAAAATCAAGTACAGTGACAGCAGGGGATATACCATATGAGGAAGAACATACAAAGGAAACAAAAAAAAAAATCACATGGTACATTTAAAACAATAACAACAAGGAAAGGCCTCTTCTGTCCATATCTTGGGGTTCTTTTTGTTTAGTATCATCTTATATGGACATATGTACATAGCTTTTGAGCTTTTTCTGCTCATCTGATAAAATTATCCTATATGTATACTAGTTATTGCAAATGAGGGAAACCATGGGACCTATATTTCTTTAGTCTGGCTTACTTCACTTAATACAATTTTTTTCAAGTCTTTGTATTTCCTAACGAACGGGGCAGTGTCATTCTTTCTGATGGAAGCATAGAATTCCATTGTGAGTGTGTGTGTGTGCCTTATTTTCTTGATCCATTCATTTGCTGAGGGGCATCTGGGTTGGTTCCATATTTTAGCTGTGGTGAATAATGCTGCAATAAACATAGTTGTGCTGGTAGCTTTAGTGTGGCCTTGTTTGTGATCATTTGAGTAAATGCTCAGAACTGGCATTGCAGGGTCATAGGGGAGCTCTGTGTATGTATGGAGGGATCTACATACTGCTTTCCAGAGTGGTTGAACAAATTTACACTCCCACCGACAATGCAGTAGGGTTCCCTTTTGAGAAGGCCCTTAATTCCTATTCTTTAAAGGATAACTTGATAATATAGTCTTGATTTGGCCAGCTATTTGCTCTCAAGGCTTTAAATTGTCATTCCAGGAAAAATTGAGGGGATTTGTAGGGAGAGATGGGAGAGAATGATGGAAGAGGTCACATTGATCAAGATGCACTGTACTTAAAAACTGATAGATTGAATTGAAACCTCTTTTGACAACTACTTAAATATAATAAAAAATAATTATTCCATGTTAACCTAAGTTACAAAGTTTCTGCTGATATAATTCTGATCTTCTTTGCTTTTGTAAGTACACTGGCATTTATCCCTTTCTTTGGAATTGAGACTCCATGTTTTAAGTGTGATCTGACATATAGAGTTTGTTTTTGTTTTTCTGGTCCTGGTGTTGTTGGTATACCTCTTCTATTCAGATGTCCATATTTCCCATGATTTCAGAAATTTTTCTACTATAATTTCACTGAATACAGTGTAGCTCTCTTAGGACTTTAGTATGTATCTCAAATATTTCTTCTCTTCTATGTATTTTTAGCTTAGTGTGTCCTAAGGTTTTTAAAAGTTGTATCAAGATTATTTATTTATATTTTTTTGCTATCTGAGTATAGAATATCCTTGACCTTGTAGTTCTCTCCTAACATTCTTCTGCATGATTTAGTCTAATGGTAATGCTTTGTCCTGTTTTTCTTAGGTTTATTGACTTCCATTTCTAACATTATATTATTTATTTTCTTTTCAGAATCTTAATATCCTTGCTTAATTTCTCATTTATGATGCTATTATTTAAATAGGTTATAAATCAACTTCATCTTTTTGTTTTGAATTATTTGGCATTTTACATTTCATACATTGATTATCTGTTGATTCAGTTATTGGCAAATTGTGTAGCTTTGGAGGTATTATATTGCCTTGGTTTTTATTTCTTGTTTTTCTCGGTTGAAATTTTCCTATGATTGAAAAAAATCCATTGGCTTTTTGTTTTTGTTTTTTATTTTATTGTTTTTCTTTTTTATTGTTATTATGAAGGTGATAAACAAAAGGTTTACAGTTATATAAGTCAGGTAATGAGTACATTTCTTTTTGGACAATGTCACCCTTTCCCTTGCTCTCTTCTAGTTTTTCCCTGCCATTCCCACCCACATTTTTTCTCCTTAATGGAGAGTCCTCTCACTTAAAGGAGAGAAAGCAGGCAGGACTAAAAACCACAACAGTTAAAAGCACATTCCATATTTAAATGTAGTATAAAACAATTAGAAATAGTAACTATACTCAGTAAGGTTAGAAAGGAAAAGACATGTAATCATAGCTTCTCAGGAGTCTGAGATCTGAGGATTGTGGTTCAAAGCCAGGCAGATTATTCTGTGAGACTCTTACCACCAGAAAATCAGAAATGGAGCTGTGTCTCAAGGTGGTAAAACATTAACTTTACCCTTAAAAAGCTCAGGACTGTATGTAGGCCCTGAGTGTAAGCCTTATTACTGACCGTCCCCCCTCAGAAAAAAGAAAAAAGAAAGGAAAGGACATGCTGAGAATTTTAAAAAATTATTAGATCCAAAGGTACTGATAATTATGTACTAATAAAGAAAGATGGAGAAAGGAAAAGTATAGAAGCAGGAAATTAGGAGAAGAAAAGAAAATGGAGTGGAGATCATAGACAAAACTAGAATGATAAGGAGAGAAACAAGGGTAAAAAGAGTATAGCAGAAGGCAAAATGATCAAAAGAGAGTAAAAAAGCAAAAAAAAAAAACCAAACAAACAAAAAGCAAAACAAGCTACAACAATGCAATTATAAATGCCACTAGAAAAATCAAGGGCTGGGAATGTGGCTTAGTGAGTGTTTACCTAGCATGCATGAAGCCCTGGGTTCAATTCCTCAGTACCACATAAAAAGAAAAAGACAGAAGTGGTGCTGTGACTCAAGTGGTAGAGTGCTAGCCTTGAGCAAAAAGAAGCTCTGGGACCATGCCCAGCCTGTGAGTTCAAGCCCCAGGACTGGCCAAAAAAAAAAAAAGGGAAAAAAAATCAAACATACACTAGTCATTACTTCTTTTTCTTTTTTGTCGGTCATGGGGCTTGAACTCTGGGCCTGGGCACTGTCCCTCAGTTTTTCAGCTCAAGGCTAGTGCTCTACCACTTGAGCCACAGCACCACGTCTGGCTTTTCCTGCTTATGTGGTGCTAAGGAATCAAACCCAGGGCCTCATGCATGCAACTACTGAGCTACCTTCCAGTCATTACTTCTTTGTTGAGGGAAAGTGGGTAGATTTCCACCTCAGGGTTTCTCTTCCAGGTTCCTACTTGGGAAGGCAGCTTTGTTTGCTTATCTAAACTCTTTGAATTTGTAAGTGGGTAAGGTGGCTGAATCTGTGAGGGGCTATGCTCTAACTTGGGTTGTTCAGGGCTCTCTAACATTCTGTCTTGGCTGGCTTGGATTCAGAACACTGCTTATTGTAAGCAAGCTGTTGATCAGGAAACATGTTGCTATCCTCAGCAGCTATGTTTAGTTGCTGGTTGATGAGCTCAGAATACTGCCAGGTTGGATGTCTCTCTTGGTTTTCTTGGAAAATCTGTTCTTGAGCAGTGGGTGCTATCTGCCAGTCTTCCTGGCCATCAGTCAAGACTATGCAGTTTACACTGGCTGGACAAGGCTCTAAGTGATCTAGTTGATCTCGTTTGACTCTAGTTGCCCCCAATTGCCTTAGCTTCACACTTTTCTTCACTGCACTTCTGGGTTGCCATTCAGGCTCTGTCCTACATACACCCCAGGCTTGTGGGGTTTTTGTTTTTGTTTTTTCTCTCTCTAGTCCTAGGGCTTGAACTCTGGGCCTGGACTCTGTCCCTGAGCTGCTGCTGCTGCTTCTTTGTTGTTATTGTTGTTCAAGGATAGCACTCTTGCCACAGAACCACTTCTACTGTTTTCTGTGTATGTGGTAATAAGGAATTGAACCTAGGGCTTCATAAATATGAGGCAAGTGCTCAACCACTAAGCCAGATTCCCAACCTCTGTGGTAGTATTTTGATGTATTTGGATTTTTTAGTGGCTTGTCCTTATTGGGCTGGCCTTGTTTGAAGCCCTGTTTGGGGGAATCTCTATTTCCCCTATGGTTTTGCTCAGCACTCGAGGTTGACTTGAGTATTTTCCTTTATAAATGTGAAGTTCAATATTTCTGGATTTCATCACAATTCCATGTCTTTCCTAGCCATAGTCCATGCTCTGAGCCATAAGACTGTTTCACATGTTTGGAGGTTCAGGAACATAGTCATGATCTCTAATCAGTGTTTTCTCTTACAGAGCTTAAACTTAGTATAAAAGTGTGTAAATAATTTGAAATTGCGATCTCTTTAGCAATGTTAATGTTTTTCTAAAATATTTTTGAAGGTGACACTCACATTGGTGGCAGCAGTAGAGAAGGCTCATTTAAAGACACAATAACGTTAAAGTGGTGCACACCAAGGACCAATAACATTGGTGGGTATTTGAAGATGATTGAAGCAGAAAAGATTAAAACAGAGTGTTCCTAAAGTACTAATGTGGGGACTCAGTCAACCTTATTTTTTTGGTCTGTCATGGGGCTTGAACTCAGGGCCTGGGCACTGTCCCTGAGTTTTTTTGCTTAAGGCTAGTACTCTACCACTTGGGACATAGCTCTACTTTCTCAGTTAACCTCTTTAAAAAACAAATTTGTTTTCCATTTTTCAGGGGTCAGTAACCAAGTTGTTTTATTTTTATTTTTGATTATGAGAATATTTCTTTATATTCCTTCAAACCAGTGTTTTCTTCTCTTTCAGAATTACACTATTGTACTGGAGCTTATCGAATTTCACCTGTAGATGTAAATAGTAGACCTTCTTCCTGCCTTACTAATTTTCTTCTCAATGGTAACTTTCAACATTTAATGGTTTTAGCAGAGATTATTTTAAGTAAAGATCACTAGTGAGAATATGAACTTTGGAAATTTATGTCAATATAGTCTTAACAGATGCCCTTTAGCAGTTCTGCTAGAGTTTAAAGATTAAGATGACTTGCTGTCTGATTCCATCTTCCAAATTTAAATTTCCAAAGCTTTCCACTAATTCTTATGATGATCTGTGTTTTAGGACCAATGGTCTAAAAATAAAAAGGCTTTATCATAATTAATTTAATTAGTTAATTTAATTAAATTAATAAGTTAATTTCATTGTTAGGTTATACTTGATTTGACTATCAAATTAAAATTCAGATTTAAGAATGTTTGGTCCTGTGAAATAGAAAAATAACAGTGCTGATAAAGTATTGTAGAGATGAATTGAGATGATGCCTTCTCAAATGTTTTGAGGTCTATCTAGGAGTTTTCTTACTTTTCTTCATAAATGTCTAGAACAAAACTTGATGTGAAATCAAGTATCACATACAACTAAACATACCAGTGACCAGTATACTTGTCTTAGAAAAGTGTCCAAATTACTACTTGAGTATCTTAAGAATAATCTGAAGTTAGAAGGTTTTTTTGTTAAGAATTAAAGTATAGAAGCTGGGCACCAGTGGCTCACGCCTGTAATCCTAGCTACTCAGGAGGCTGAGATCTGAGGATTGCAGTTCAAAGCCAGTCCGGGCAGGAAAAGTCCATGAGACTTTTTGCTGTTGTTGTTGTTGGTTGTGATGCCTGAACTCAGGGCCTGGGCACTGTCCCTCAGCTAGCTCTTCAGCTCAAGGCTAGCACCCTACCACTTGAGCCACAGCACCACTTCTGGCTTTTTCTGCTTATGTGGTGCTGAGGAATAAAACCCAGGGCCTCATGCATGCAAAACAAGCACTCTACCACTGAGTCACCTTCCCAGCCCAGTCCATGAGACTCCATCTCCATTAAACCATTTAGAAAACAAGAAGTGGCACTATGGCTCAAGTGGTAGAGCACTAGCCTTGAGCTGAAGAGCTGAGGGACAGTGCCCAGACACAGAGTTTAAGTCCTACAACCAACAAAAAAAGAAAAAAGAATTAAAGTATAGATGTATCAAATTAGCAATGTTGTTAGAATGTAGGCATCAATAAATAAAATGAAGCTGGGCACTAGTGGTTCATGCTTGTAATCCTAGCTATTCAGGAGGATGAGATCTGAGGATCCCGGTTTAAAGCCAGTCTGGGCAGGAAAGTCCGTGAGACTCTTAGCTCCAATATACCACTCAGAAAACTGGAAGTGGCTCTGTGGCTCAAGTGGTAGAGCACTAGCACTAGTCTAGAGGGACAATGCCTAGGCCCAGAGTTCAAGCCCACGACCGACCGACCGACTAACCAACCGACCGACCTAAATTAATTAATTAATTAAAAATGAAACATCTCCACATAAATCTTAATAACTCAGAGCCTGTCTGAATGTCATGAGCGTATCTTGGTTTTCACAGGTCGTTCTGTTCTATTGGAACAACCACGAAAGTCGGGCTCTAAAGTCATTAGTCATATGCTTAGTAGCCATGGAGGAGAGATCTTTTTACATGTGCTTAGCAGTTCACGATCTATCCTGGAGGATCCACCTTCAATAAGTGAAGGATGTGGAGGAAGGGTGACAGACTACCGGATTACAGTAAGACTTTAATATTTCTGCCTGTTATATTTGGAGTCTGTAGATAGCAAATAGTTACTGAATTTGTATTATGTGCTAAAATCTGTGGAAAAGACGATTTGGAGCAACTTGATTTTTGTTATATCTGGAATCTGTCAATGAACAAATAGTTATTAAGTTCTTATTGTTGCTAAGATTTGTAAAACGATTTGGAAGAACTTGATTACTTGTTATTTTAAGTCATTAAATTGTTTACAGTACTTGCTCAGATCTATTTGTTATGATGGAGATTTTCATGGTATGTATTCAATGCATACTGAGAAGTAGCTGGAATGTACTGAAATATTAGAACTGTGGAGATGAAAAATTGATTTGAACTAAGATTTATGGATTTATGCAATTTAAAAGCTGCAAGCAGAAACATTTGTATGTTTATATCGCTGCTGCTTTAAAGTAACTTTAACTTGTATATTATTTTTAGGATATACTATATGATGATACAAGGAAATGATATGTATTTTTGGTAGAAATCCCTTTGTTTTGGTTTTAATTTTATCTCCCTTTTCATATTTGATGGATATCTACCTTTAGAGATGGTTATGGAAATAAAATATGATTTATATATACTGTTATACTAACCCACAAATGTTTTATGCCACACATTTTATGTAATTATTGTCATTATTTTGTTTGTGTGAGTGTGTGTGTGTGTGTGTGTGTGTGTGTGTGTGTGTGTGTGTGTGTGTTGGTACTAAGTTCAGGGTCTGGGTGCTGTACCTGAGCTTTTTCACTTAGTGTTCTATAATTTGAGCCACACCTCCACTTCTGGCTTTTGGTGTTTAATTGGAGATAAGATTCTTTCAGATTTTCTTGCCTGGGATGGCTTCAAACCACAGTCCTCAGCTCTCACCCTCCTCAGCTAGGATTATAGGCATGAGCCACCATCACTTGGCTTGCAATATATTTTAAGTAACTATTTTTGGCTGAGCTTTTCTCTTTTTCAACAAAACAAGCCTAGTCAATATTCATTGTGAGGCATTCCTGAAAAACAAAAGCAAAAAAATTGTAAGTGATTTGTAATCCTTCATTCAAAGATAATCACTGTTAACATTTTGCTGATATACCCCAGATAGTTTTTAAAGTAAGTAAATTGATCTGATGCATAAACTCATTCGTTTAGATAAAATAGAAAAGAGCTACAATTTAAAAAAAGAAATGTTTCTGGGAATTTAAAAGGGGAATAGTGCCACAAGTGCATGTTTGTTTGGAGCTTTCTTCATTTCTATCTATAAAGTCAAAGTTCAAAAGGAGAAAACAAAGTAGTGAGGTGGGGGCCTCTGCTAGAGAAAGTTCTTTGATGTAAATCACAGGACAGAAGACATCAGGGAAGAGATTATTACATGTAACCCATACTGAAACATGAGACATAGTTTCTAATTTTGTCTTATTTGGTTATCATTAGGATTTTGGTGAATTTATGAGGGAAAACAGATTAACTCCTTTTCTAGACCCCAGATATAAAATCGATGGAAGTCTTGAGATCCCTTTGGAACGAGCAAAAGATCAGTTAGAAAAACATACCCGATACTGGCCCATGATTATTTCACAAACCACCATTTTCAACATGCAAGCGGTAAGTGTTAAATATAGATTTTTTCCCCAGATTCATTATGTCTTCTTTGTAAAAACAAACGTGAATTTGTTTCAATGAAAGGATTAGTACTAGAGGACTGAAGTTAATAGTTATAGATTGCTTTACTGTGGTGATATTTAAAGTCAGATTGTGCCTCCATGCTTTGATAAATTTGGTTTTCAAAACAGATTTTCTCTTTTCTTTAAACAAAACAAAACACTAACAGGTAGTTCCATTAGCCAGTGTTATTGTGAAAGAATGTTTGACAGAAGAAGATGTGTTAAACTGTCAAAAAACAATATACAACTTAGTTGACATGGAAAGAAAAAACGATCCTCTACCTATTTCCACAGTTGGTACCAGAGGAAAGGGTCCTAAAAGGTAGGGGTTTTTTTCCCCTTTATTCTTTACATTTATTTGAAATTTTTTTTAAGATAACTCATTTGACATGTAAATAATTTGAACATGAGATTAAAAATGTGAAATATGAGCTGGTGCTTGGGGTTCATGCCTATAATCCTAGCTACTCAGGAGGCTGAGTATTATAGTTTGATTATAATTCAAAGCTAGCACAGGCAGAAAAACATGAGTCTCTATTGCCAATTAACCAGCAAAAAATATGGAAGTGGGGGTATGATTCAAGTGCTAGTGCACCAGCTTTGAAAGTTCTAAGCCAAGAGTATGAAGCCATGAGTTCAAGCCCCAGTACTGGCATAAAAAATAAAATGAAAGTAAGTGTATATATACACATGTACTATATGATATAGGTAGTACATTGTACTTAGAATCCATTAGTAATGTCCAGTAAGACAAAAAGAAGATATATTTCCTTTTCCTTGATATATAGTCTCAGGACCATAAATAGATTTAAATTTCTGTATTTATATATATATATATTTTTTTTTTTTTTTTTTTTTGCTGTCAATACTGGGTCTTGAACTCAGAGCCTCTTGCTTTGCTTGATTTTTTAACTCAAGGTTGGTACTTTACCACTTTTAGCATTTTGCTGCCTAATTGTAAATATGAGTCTCATGGACTTTTCTGTCCTGGTTAGCTTCAAACCATGATTCTCAGATCTCAGCCTATTAAGCAGTTAGCATTAGAGGGAGTAGCCACTAGCATCTAGCTGTATTCATAATTCATAAATACAAAATTTATAGTGTTTTCTTAAGGCTTTACTATCAGAAGTATAACACCACTTTTTAAAATATGCTAGCATGTAGGAAGTGATACTTTAGTGTTATTTTGTATTTTTCAAGTGTATTGTGAGAATATTATTTTAACTTTTCACTGCAGAGATGAACAGTACCGCATCATGTGGAATGAATTAGAAACACTTGTCAGAGCCCACATTAGCAACTCAGAGAAGCATCAGAGGGTGTTGGAATGTCTGATGGCATGCAGGAGCAAACCCCCAGAAGAAGAAGAAAGAAAGAAAAGGGGAAGAAAGCGGGAGGATAAAGAGGATAAGTCAGAAAAAGCAGCAAAAGAGTATGAACAAGAAAAATCCTGGCAGGATTCAGAGAGGTGATTTCTTGGCATTAACATAGCACAAAGGGCCTTTTGCCATACACAGTTAAACTTCATTTACAACGTATGTTTTTTTGTTTTTTTTTTGTCAGTTGTGGGGCTTGAATTCTGGGTTGGGCACTGTCCCTCAGCAATTCAGCTCAAGGCAAGCACTCTACCACTTGAATTAGAGCACCACTTCTGGTTTTCTGGTGGTTTATTGGAGATAAGAGTCTCATAGACTTTCCCTGGCTTTGAACTGTGATCCTCAGATCTCAGCCTCCTGAATAGCTAGGATTACAGGTGTGAGTCACTGCCACCTGGCTGTATGTTCTTTTTTGTTGTACAAGCCTGTTTTTGTTTTTGGTTTTTTTTTTTTTAATGCTGACAAGTATCTTTCCTGCCCATATCTTTCAAGGTGGATATGTATTTATACCTCATATCTATACCCTACCACAACCTCCACAGGAATATTTTGACAGTAATTCTGGAAATTATACAATTTTGTAGATAAATAGAGCACTTTTATTCTTTTTTTCTGCCAGTCCTGAGGCTTGAATTCTGGTCCTGGGCACTGTCCCTGAGCTTCTTTTGTTCACAGCTAGCATTCTACCACTTGAGCCACAGCGCCACTTCTGGCTTTTTCTATGTATGTGGTACTGAGGAATTGAACTCAGGCTTTATGCATGTGAGGCAAGCACTCTACCACTAAGTCACATTCCCAGCCCCACTTATATTCTCTAAAATTTTTAAAGTTTAGTTTTTCCTTAGTGCTGCTTAGCATCTGAAATAAAATTGGCTCACTGTTAGCTCATTCAGCATGCACTGACCTTCAGCATACCTCTAAATATTTTGAAAATGATGTGTTCCATGATGAAAGCTTAGTTAAGTGTCTAACTAGTGGAACCTAAATATGTTTCCACCCTACATAATAAACCAAACAAATAACAGTAAACGTCTTAGTCTTATTTGTGTTTTGTAATATTTCTTCCATATCTTTAAAATTGTGCAAGATCTTTGAAATATCACCTCACCTTTTAAATTTTAGCTTCAGATTTCCTATAGTTTTTCCTCATTTTATTTATTTTTTCCCCCATTTTATAGCTAGTTCTTGAACAAAGCAAAGAGAAATTTGAGTTTAATTCATTAACTGCTTATACCTGATTTTTGATAGAAGTTTCTGGTTCTTAGTGGTATTTTGTGAGATCAGCTTTGTTTTATAAAGACTAATGTTTGGCTGGGAATGTGGTGTAGTGGGAGAGTGCTTGCCTCGCATACATGAAGGTCTGGGTTCAATACCTCAGTACAACATACACAGAAAAAGCCTGAAGTAGCCCTGTGGCTCAAGTGGTAGAGTGCTTGCCTTGAAAAAAACATGCTCAGGGACAGTGCCCAGGCCCTGAGTTGAAGCCCCAGGACTGGCAAAAAAAGAAAACAAAAAACTAGTGTTCAGAATGGTTTAATTATTGGAACCATTTGTAGACTTCTAATAGTTTAACTTTACATTTTATTATTTGTCCCTCTAAAAGATTGAAAGGAATTTTAGATCGTGGAAAAGAAGAGTTGGCTGAAGCTGAGATTATAAAAGATTCTCCCGATTCTCCAGAACCTCCAAACAAAAAGCCCCTTGTTGAAATGGATGAAACTCCACAGGTAGAAAAATCAAAAGGTAAGGTATAATCGTGGTTGACTGTATTGATGGAGATTTTTCTAATTAAGTTTTTTTGTTGTTCTTTTGTTCTTTTTTTTTTTAGATAGTATCATTTGTTATTGTTGTGTCTTTGGGAAAGAGCTCCTAACTGCCTGAGTATCATTTAGGAGAATCTCTGTTTACAACTTTGGAAGAAGAAACAAGGCTTGTCAGCATTCAAAAGCAAAAAAGTAGCTGGGCACCAGTGGATCATCTCTGTAATCCTAAGCTATTTGGGTGGTTGAGACCTGAGGACCAGGGTTCTGAGCCAGCCCAGGTAGGAACATACATGAGATTCTCACTTCCAGTTAACTGGCCAAAAGCCAGAAGTGGAGCTGTGGCTGGGATGGTAGGTGCCAGCCTTGAGCCAGAACAGAAACCTAAGGGAGAGCAAGAGGTCCTGAGTTCAAGCCCCAGTACTGGCCAAAGCAGATAAATAAAAACAAAAAATATTGTTATATTTACATTAATGAAGCCTTTGGAGAATAAGTACTTTTACCTTAAATTCTGTGTTTTAAGAAATTATAAATATGGGCGGGGAAGGTGGCTCAGTGGTAGAGCACTTGCCTTGCATGCCTGAGGCCCTGGGTTCGATTCCTCAGCACCACATAAGCAAAAAGAAAAAAAGCCGGAAGTGGCGCTGTGGCTCAAGTGGTAGAGCGCTAGCCTTGAACTGAAGAGCTGAGGGACAGTGCCCAGGCTTAGAGTTCAGGCCCCATGACTGGACCCCCCCCCCCAAAAAAAAAAAGAAATTATAAATATAAAAACTTGAATCTGCTGGTATTCTTCATCATATGTGTCAAGTACTAGTTTTTTTGTTTTGTCCATCGTGGGGCTTGAACTCTGGGCCTGGGCTCTGTCCCTCAGTTCTTCAGCTCAAGGCTAGCGCTCTACCGCTTGAGCTATAGCTCCACTTCTGGTTTTCTATTGGTTTATTGGAGATAAGAGTCTCAGGGACTTTCCTGCCCTGGCTGGCTTTGAACCTCAGATCTCAGCCTCCTGAGTAACTAGGATTACAGGCGTGAGCCACTGGCCCCGGGCAGTACTTGTTCTTAAACTCAGTTTATTGGTAATACTCATTCTTTGATAAATTACACTTCTTTGAATAAACTTAAATGAAGGTATTGATATAAATCATTATCTTTTAGAGGTTGAGTGGGTTAATTTCCTCTTGAAGGAATTCTAGTTTTAATTTGTGAATGAAAGCTCCTAAGACCAATGACCTTCATGATCTTGAATTGAAGGTAAAAATTATATTTAGTCCTTTAGGATACATGAGAAATGGTATTTGCCATCATCAGACTGATGATTGTGCCTCTTTTGAGGTAGTATAGTTCTCAGAACTGGCCAGATTCCCATTTTTGCGGTTTCTTGTTCTTTTTGTTGTAATAGTTGTTGTTGTAATAGTTGTTGGTGTTGGTAGTGGTGTGTGTATGTGTGTGTGTGTGTGTGTGTGTGTGTGTGTGTGTTTGTGTTTGTGTGTGTGTTTGTGTATGTGTTTGTGTCCGAGCATGTTTGGACTGATGCTTGAACTCAGGGCCTCAGGCTTTTCCTGGTTAATTGGAGATAAGAGTTTAAGAGTTTCACAAATATCTCTACCACTCCTTCTCCTGGGCTGGCTTTGAACTGTAATCTTCAGTTCTCTGCCTCCAGAGTAGCTAGGATTATAGGCATGAGCCATCAGCATTGTTTGTTTTTTATATGCTTCTGTCAAATGTGTGTATTGTGTTCCTTAATTTCTTTGAAATCATAGAATCAGAACTCTCTCTTTTATATTTGCCTTTCAGGCATTTGCCAGGGTATCTAGAAAATAAAATAATAATATTGTAGTAAATGTGTGTTGATAAATCATTTTTATTTCTTACATGATAAGCCACTGCTGATTAGAATCAGAAATTTAGGTATATGCCAAACAATGTATCTGTATGTATTCCTTAGAAAATAGAACTGTAAAAATATGCTGGCAAATAATTGCAAACAGCCAAAACATATATTAGTAAATTAAATGACTAAACAATAGTGGTTCATAGGGCCGAGTTTATTTAGCCCAAGAATTGGTATTCTCACAAATGCCCACTTTTCTCTCTTGTCATGTCTGCCTGTAATGTCAGGTTTTAGCTTACATCAACTCCTTTCCCAAGAAAAGTTTCCCTGATATCCTTTCACAGTTCAGTGAGGTGCTGCTTCTTTATGCTTCCATTACTTTTTGGGATTGCTACTACGGTAGTGTATAGCAGTAGTACATTAGCATAGCTTCTGCTGTTAATCTGAAACATTTTAAGATCAGCAATTTTTATTTCTTGTTACATCACTGCTGCCCAACATACAGCATCTGGTGTGCTTCTATGAGTTGTATTATTTGCTGAATGGATGAGTTCATAAATGTAAGGTATATTAAATAGGTAGGTTTCACTAGGTAGCCAATGAAGAGAATACCATGTGATATTTAGGCAGGAAAAGTTGTTTGTTTTCCAAATTGCTGCCCTCCCCCCCCCCCCCCCCCCCGTAGCTGAAGGGGTGGGCTGTCTCACCTGGGTTTAAGTAGGGAAGGGGAAGGGAAAAGGTGCAGCCAGGTGAGGAAAGTGTGGCCACACTGGATGTGGATGTGACCCAAGGGCCTGGGACCCTCCCCCAGTCTGATGGAAGGCATGACTGGGGCAGCCTAGGATGTGACCTCCAGGTGTACCAGTTACCTAGGTGACACAGGTATTGGGCAGAGACTTAGCCAAGAGGAGGAAAGAGCCTGCTTCGCCTTCCCTGGGTCAACCTTACATTAAGTATGTATTATATAAGGGTGGGAAGGCTACAGACTCTTGTAGTCTTACAATGTCAATTTTGTTTAAAAAAGTTTCCTGTATACTACCTTGTCACTTGGGTGAATTATCAGCCATGATTACAATAAATGGATCCTTGAAAGCTTTCCCTTTGAACACACTATGTAATGACCTCTGTAAGAACATTTATATTGTAAATTACTCTCTCTCTCTCTGTAGTTTGAAACTGGTGTTTGAAAAATATTTTTTTCCATTCTGTTTTACTACCTAAATCATATGTCTTAGTGCTGGATTTTATGTGTGTATGTGGTTTGTTTTGTTTTTGTCAGTCGTGGGGCTTGAATTCTGGACCTGGGCTCTGTCCTTGAGCTCTTCAGTTAAAGGCAAGTGCTCTACCACTTGAGCCACAGTGCCATTTCCTAAATCATATGTCTTTGATAAGCACCTGGGCTTTGATTATATCTGTTTTATCTGCTTTGCAATTTTTGTTTCCCACAGGATTCTCCAAAGTCAATTTTATGTGCTTTGTTCTTAGGATTGGATTATTATAATTTCATAGATTTGGTTAAAATCTCTTGTTTTCTTTGTGTGATACAGTAACAGAGAAACCCAAATATTTTGTTGTTGTTCATTAGCATTTTTTGAAATAAATTTTTTTTATGAAAATACTGTACAGAGGGCTTACAATCACATGAGCAAGGTAATGAATACATTTCTTATCAAGCATTGTTGCCTCCTCCTTTGTTTTTCTATGTTCATTAGCATTTTTTTCTTTTCTTTTTTTTTTTTTTTTTTTGTCGGTTGTGGGGCTTGAACTCTGGGCCTGGGCGCTCTCCCTCAGCTCTTTAGCTCAAGGCCTAGCGATCTACCCCTTGAGCCATAGCACCACTTCTGGCTTTTTCTGTTATGTGGTACTGAGGAATCGAACCCAGGGCCTCATGCATAGGAGGCAAGCACTCTTCTACTGAGCCACCTTCCTAGCCCCTTCATTAGCATTTTGAGAATAACATTGAACCTATCAAGATTAGCATTGAGTAAAAGACAAATTCATTTTCATTTTACTTTACTACGTTTGTTTTATTATGTTTAAATAATTGTATAAAGGGTTTCAATTCAACATGTCAATTTATGAGTACATTGCATCTTGGTCAATGTTAAGACCAAAGTACTCATAGTTTTTGTTTTGTTTTGTTTTTTGGTCAGTTCTGGGGCTTGAACTTTTGGCCTGGGTGCTATCCCTCAGCTCTTCAGTTCAGACAAGCACTCTACCACTTAAGCCACAGCACCACTTCCAGTTTTCTAGTGGTTTATTGGATATAAGAGTCTCACAGAGTTTCCTGCTTGGCTGGCTTTGCCCATGATCCTCAGATCTCAGCCTTCTGAGTAGCTAGTATTACAGATGAGAGCCACCAATGCCCAGCTTACTCATAGTTTTTTGAGTAGTGAGTTTATGATTTTATGTGCTCCTTTGTATGTTGTTTAAAAAGAAAATTGCATAGTATCTTAAAAGAAGAAAAATACAGTTCTGTTTTGGTTTTTAAAGTTTAAACAACTTACATGTAGAAGGATTCTTTCTTGTGTGTAGTTCGATGAGTTTTGATATTGCCTAAAGTTGTATAACAAACATTACCACAATCAAGGTATTTCTCTACATTGTACCTTTGTAGTAATTCTTCACCTTTTTTTTTTATTTGTGCTGATCCTGCAACTTGAACTCAGGGCCTGTGAACTGTCCCTGAGTTTTTGTGCTCAAGAGTAGTGCTCTACCTTTGGAGCTGCAGCTCTACTTCCGATTTTTTTGATGTTTTAATGGGAGATAAAAATCTCTTGAGCTTTCCTGCCCAGGTTGGCTTTGAACCTCAGTCCTCAGCTCTCAGCCTCCTGAATAGCTGGGATTATAGGTGTGACCCAGTGGTGCTCAGTTCATAATTGTGCCTTTTTCAGAGTGTCTTAAATGAAATAAAATAATGTTGCCTTTGTAGGTTGGATTTTTACATGTCATAATGCATTTGAGTTTCCTGTGTTTTGTGTGTGTATGAGTATTTGTTCTTTTTCATTTATCTGCAAGGCATATTGCTACTTTCTCAAAAGAAAACCCTGCCAACTTACTTTTCTATATGGTTGTACCTTTTTAATTTCCCACTTTAAAATAGGAGTTTTCTGGTTGTTCTGTACCCATATCAGTATGTCAAAGTTACCTTTGTGGTTTTAGATATTCTAGTAGCTAAAAGATTCATCAATAATTTATTGTTTTAATTAACATTTTCTTCATGACTAATAATGATAAGCCTCTATTCATTTATTTGTCATTTGCTATGTTTTTTTCAGTGAATATCTGATGAATTTTTAAGCTGGATTGTTTCTTTATGAGTTCTTAGATGACTTGTGTATATTTTCTCTAAGTGTGTTGCTCCTGTTCATTGTCATTTTTTGTTTTTGATCGGTTGTAGAGCCTAAACTCTGGACCTGGGCACTGTTCCTCAGTTCTTCAGCTCAAGACTAGAGTTCTACCACTTGAGCCACAGCACCACTTCTGGCTTTTTCTGCTTATGCGGTGCTGAGGAATTGAACCCAGGGCCTCATGCATGCAAGGCAAACACTCTACTACTGAATCACATTCCCAGCACTCATTGTCATTTTTGCAGTGCAGATTTTTTTTTTTTTCTCCCAGTCCTGGGGCTTGAGCTCAAGGCCTGGGCACTGTCCCTGAGCTTCTTTTGCTTAAGGGTAGTATTCTACCACTTGAGCCACAGCACCACTTATGGCTTTTTCTATTTATATGGTACTATAAAATTGAACCCAGGGCTTCATGCATTCTAGGCAAGTACTCTACCACTAAGCCACCATTTTATTTTATTTTATTTTTTTGGTTCTGGGGCTTGAACTCTGGGCCTGGGCACTGTCCTTCAGCTCTTCAGCTCAAGGCTAGTGCTCTACCACTTGAGCCACAGCACTACTTCCAGTTTTCTGAGTGGTTTATTGGAGATAAGAGTCTCACCAACTTTCCTGCCTGGGCTGACTTTGAACTGTGATCCTTAGATCTCAGCTTCCTGAGTACTAGGATTACAGGTGTGAGCCACCAACGCCTGGCTTAAGCCACCATTTTTACAATGTAGAAGTTTCTACTTTTGAAGAACCCAAATATACCAGCTTTTGCTTTTGTGGTGTTTTGGGGATCATGTGTTAAGAAATGTCATCCAAGGTCAGAAATGTTAGCTCTTACATTTTCTTTTAGGACCTCTAGAATTTTAGGTTTTACATATGTTTGATAATCTCCCCTTCCCCCACCTCAGTGAAAAGTATGGGTCAGAATTCTTTTTTTTTTTTTATACTGAGTATTCTAATTGTTGTAGTAGCATTTGTTAAAAGACTATCCTTTCTTCACTGAAGAGCCTTTGTAATTTGCCAGTGGACTATGTGTATGTTTCCAGGTTCTCTTTCGTCTCCTGTCGGTCTGTGTATCTGTCCTTTGCACATTAAATCTTGAAATCAGGTTGTAAAGAGTCTTCTGACATTCGTGTTTCCTTTTCCAAATTGTTTTGAATGAGTTCTTTTTTTCTCCCAGTGTTGGGGCTTGATGTCAGGGCCTGTGCACTGTCCCCTTAGCTTTCGCACACACAGCACATGTACACATTCTAGTCATATTGTTGTAATAAGGTTCCTGATCAAAGGATCAAGGCTGATACAAAGTAAACATTAAGCAAAGCTTTATTTTGCGCCAAGCATGGAGAATTGAACTAACTGGTCAGTGCTATCTCTATGGAGAGAGCAACCCCTTCCAGTCATATAGGCTAGTTTTTATTGGGTAAACCCACAAATCATAAACTAACTGTAAGCATGTAGCTAATCTTACCCCTATTGGTTAAAACAGAAGGGTTACATATGTGCTTTTTACTGATTGGATGCCTCCACCTGACCTGACTCTCATCTTTGTTTTTCTGGGCTCTGTTACTGAGGCAAGCAAGCAAGGTTACAGAAGCAAAACATAGCAAAAACATAGCCTTGAGTCACAGGAGAATAGGCAAAACATAATCTTGACTTGGTCAACATGACCAATACTATCAATGCTATTGACACTATTACAGAAATTATTTTTATTATAAGCTCCTGACTAATACAGCAACTCAGTGCAGCTGATGATAAGCCTCAAGGTTGTCAATAGCCTTCTGCAAAGCTGCCAGCTTGGTAAACTTGATTGAGGGAGAGATATTCTTTTGCTTTTTAGCAAGGATGGAGAAGGGACGAAGGCTGACTACTGGCAGCCTTTGTCTGTTGTTTTTTTAAAAATTTTTTTTTTTTTGGTTCCCTTATAGACAGGATAGGCTTGCCCTTACTGAACAAACAACAGGTGCGTGCAAGGTCAGCTCATACTTACACTTTACAAACCAAATGGCTGCCTAGACAAAAAATGGAGTTACTTTGGCTAACTGTACCTCACAGTTGTAAGGTGAATTATCAGGGAAGCCACTTTTTGGAAGGTGGAATATTGAAGTCTTCATTGCACAGTTAGCAGGCCACAGACAGCCATCTGTTAGAAAAGCCTGCAGCCCCCAAATATATATAACATGGTTAGGAAACAGACCAGAGAGGAAAGAAAGAACAAAAACAATACCAGCAAACCAATTTAACTCTAATGGAGAGCTGAATTGGGCCACCATGATGACTGGAGACAAGCCAGGAGACAGGACACAGGACACAATCATGGAGACACACATGGCATGGCATAATGGGCCTGTGCTGGTCTGGGCCTAAATAGGGTCAGCACAGGGGGCAGCTCCACTAGACTGACAGATTCAGCCAAGTGCCTGCCCCTGCCTCCAGGGATCTGGGCAGGCCCATCACCTGGGAGGTGGAGGCATTTCCTTCTTCTTGTGAAGACAAGATGCCATGTGGCCAATATGGTGCTGGCCAGACCTAACCTCTTTACTTCATTATGTATAATTTTGTATTTAATCATTTGAATCTTTCCAATAGGTGATTGAACAGAGTGAGTAGTTTGAAAGACCCTAAAGAACATGTAAATTTTAGATTAAGAGAAAAATGCTATTGGCTTGGTTTATATAACATGAGCAATAAAGTTAAAGGTAAGTCTGTTACATTTGTAAATTTTGTGATAACAATACTTCTCTCTTTATTGTTTTCTTTGTTATACATCATTAGGGCCTGTGTCCTTATTGTCCTTGTGGAGTAATAGAATCCATACTGCCAATTCCAGAAAACATCAGGAGTTTGCTGGACGCTTAAACTCAGTTAACAACAGAGCTGAATTATATCAACATCTTAAGGAAGAAAATGGGTTTGTGTTATTTATTGTTGAAAATTATTTTATTGTGTAGTGCTTTGGTAAGCACTGCTTACCAAAAATCAGTTAAGATTTGTTAAGAGTTGGTAATACTATACAAGACAGGCTTTGTATCCAGCTGAGCGATAGGGCCATGAGAGTTGGAAGTATTATATCTTAGCTCAGCACTGGTGGTGGCTCATGGCTATAATGTAGCTTCTCAAATGCTGAGATTTGAGGATCTCCATTCAAAGTTGGCCTAGGCAGGAAGGTCTATGAGACTCTTTATTTCCATTAACCAATAAAGAGCCAAAAGTGGAGTTAGGCTCAAGTGGTAGAACAACAGCCCAAGTAGAAAAGTCACATGAGAGCGCAAGGCCCTGCTTGAAAGCAAAAACAAAAAGCAAAAAAACCCCAAACAAACAAAACTCTCTTTTCTTGGTGTGTATACAAGGTCTGAATTTATTGATTTATAGTGTGCTTGTACCAATAATGCTTTCAGTGGCTAGTAAGCATCTAAGAAAAAAATACAAAGGAGCCCAGCATTTTGGCCTATACCTGTAATCCCAGCTACTCAGTAGGCTGAGATCTGTGGATAGTGGTTCAAAGCCAGCCGTGGCAGGAAAGTCTGAGACTTTATCTCTAATTAACCACCAGAAAACCAAAAGTGGCATTGTGGCTCAAAGTAGTAGTGTGCTAGCCTTGAGCAAAAGAACTTAGGGACAGTGCCCAGGCTCTGAGTTCAAACCCCACAACTGACCAATTAAAAATAAAGATAACAAAGAGAAAATAGTTTTATAACAAGTAATGCAGTATTAAAACACTATTTATAATAGAATAAACCCTAGTTTGATGATTTTGTTCAATGATTTGTAAGAAATTCTTGTAAAATATTGGTAAAAGAATTCCTTTAATAGAAAAGGAAACAACTGCTTTATTCAATAGCAGAGATGTTTTCCTTAGTTTTTTTCAGAGAAAGGAGAGTAGCATCGTAAACATACACACGCACACGCACGCACGCACGCACTGATGCCTTTTGCCTTTTGGAATAGCTTTGGGAAAGCCCTTAATTTCTCCAGGGTCAATTTTCACTCATCTTCAAAGTGAGAAAATTGTGTTAATTAGAGGTCCCCTGACTTTATTCTTCTGCCTAATGTGCTTGTGTTATTTTGTTCTTTGCATATATTAGATTTTCATTTCCCTATATGAGGTAGATGAAATATAGATATAGCTAATGAATGTTTTAATTTACCAACCCATTTTTACCTCCCTTTTTTTTTGTTTCAGAATGGAGACAACAGAAAATGGTAAAGCTAGTCGGCAGTGAAGAATGATTTAAGGAACTGAATTTATGAGTATAATTACAAAAATATTTTGGGCAGAGTTTGACATAAGTACTTTTACAGCAAGGTTGTATAGTTTATGCTAGCTTATGTTAGCTAGACTGGTTTTTACATTTTTTAAATATTTCAATGAACTATCTTTTTTGTACTGGCATTAAAATTGGCAAAGTCAAACATACACCTTTGAGATCTGTTCTCTCCAACCAAATAGGTTTATTTTATACTGAAATGTATTCCCTCTGGAAATGTTTTTGTAAAGATTCTTAGGCTTCTCTTTGCCAAATAAAATTATTAAAACACCTAAAGTGCAAAATATTGTAGTGTCACTTTGGAAAAGATGCTATTTTATTCATTTAATGGCTAACAAAATTTGGAAAATTTGAGGTTTAAGTGAGATTTGCAATTCTTAATATAAAATTTATGTTAGTCTACATCATATACATCATAGTGCTTTTCCAAGAGAGAATATTGTCTTTATTTTTGTCTTTATGTTCCTGTGTGTGTGTGTTCAAAACTACATTTAAAGCCAGAATTTCCAGGTAGTTGGTATGAATTTATATTTACTAGTGTTAGATGTTACTTTTTTTTTAAGTTAAAGATGTACTTTCTGTTAACTTTTTATGCTTGAAAGTGGGATTATTTACAGACTTAGAAGAAAGAAAACCTAGTATTTTTATCCCTGGATAGTTTCATTTCTTCATATGTAAAAAATGTCCTGGTTTATGTTTATGTTTTGTGATTTATTGGAATTACTCTCATACTGCTTCAGCTTGAAGTTTTTAATATGGTGTGAGAAACACCCTAAATACTATTTTTAGGGTTTTTTTTCTCTATTTTTTTTTTCCTTGAGTGTTTTTTGTGTTTTTTTTTCTTTCTTTTTGTTGGTTGTGAGGCCTGAACTCTGGGCCTGGGCACTGTCCCTCAGCTCTTCAGCTCAAAGCTAGCATTCTACCACTTGAACCACAGCTCCACTTTGGCTTTTTCTGCTTATATGGTGTTGAGGAACCAACTCAGGGCCTCATGCGTGCAAGGCAAACAATCTTTCACTGAGCCACCTTCCCAGCCCCTTCAATGTTTATTAGAGAAGGGAAAAACCCTTCCTTTCATTTATCTGTCCTAAAATCTTAAGTCCAGATTTAATTATTATAGGTATCAAAGTTAGGCTGTGCTTTCAATTATGTTGTATTATTATACTGATTTAAAGCTCAATTATATATATATATATATAATTTTTTTTTTTTTTTTTGGTCCTGTCGTGGGGCCTGAACTCTGGGCCTGGGCGCTGTCCCTCAGCTCTTCAGCTCAAGCTCAAGGCTAGCGCTCTACCACTTGAGCCACAGCGCCACTTCCGGCTTTTTTCTTTTTGCTTATGTGGTGCTGAGGAATCGAACCCAGGGCCTCAGGCATACAAGGCAAGCGCTCTACCACTGAGCCACCTTCGCAGCCCTCAATTATATTTTTAACAATGGATTAGAACAATTTTTTTGTATGGGATGTTCCATGGGATGCTTGGCAAACATAAATCCAATGAGATTTTACTGCAGAAAGTCTCAGTGAACTAGAACGTTATTCAGAATCACCATATACACATGTTCTATCATTGATTGTCACTGCAGGTTCATAGAAGAGTCAGCCTGAACAGTAAATAGCTTAGTTTTGGAGGATGAAATCATTTAAGATTGTGTGATGAAGTACTGGGTTGTTGGCCTTGTCTGTTCACAGCAGCTCTGCAAATGTGGACATGTAGGAAAGAAGCATCCAGGTGTGGGTTTGTTATGGATGCGTGGCCTAAGTGAGCAAATATAAGATTTTCCACATTATCATAAGGCTTTGAAGCATTAGACTTAATTTAGGAAGTTACAGTACGTGAATTTATTTACAATGAGCATATTTGATTGAACATACTTAGCTACCATTTTATATGCAAAATATTGTGTTTTAGCATTTTTTATGGTTGAATCTATACCCTTGTCTTTATATTTTATCTGAATGAGCTATAAAAACTAAACTTTTACAATCTGAGACAGTCTTCTAAGAAATGTGCACACTTAATTTAGTATCTGATAATAAATTTTCTTATTTTCAGCTTTTTTGTTTTGTTTTGTTTTTTTGGGTCGGTCATGGGGCCTGAACTCTGGGCCTGGGCTCTGTCCCTCAGCTCTTCAGCTCAAGGCTAGCACTCTACCACTTGAGCCACAGCGCCACTTCTGGCTTTTTTCTTTTTGCTTATGTGGTGCTGAGGAATCGACCCCAGGGCCTCAGGCATGCAAGGCAAGCGTTCTACCACTGAGCCACCTTCCTAGCCCCTTATTTTCAGCTTTTTATTTAAGTAGTGTACAAATGGATTTCAATTCAACATTTCATTTTATGAGTATAATGCATCATGATTAGTATTATCCCTCTGTCATTCCCCCTCCTGTGTTTTGACCTATTTTAAAATAGAATTGGAGGCCAGGAATAGTGGTACATGTTTGGAATTCTAGGTACACAAATATGGTGGTTAGAAGCCAGGTACTAGTGGCTCATGTCTGTTATCCTAGCTACTTAGGAAGCCGAGATCATCAGGACTGACTCTGTAACTTTTATCTTCAATTAGCCAGCAAAAAACTGGAAGTAGAGGTATAACTCAAGTGGTAAAGCATCAGCCTTGAGCAAAATAGTTAAGAGACAGTGCTCAGGCCCTCGTAGTGTCACAAAAAACAAAAACAAAAAACAAGTAGTAGTTGGGAGGGTCATGATATGAGGTCAGCCCCAGCTAACAGAGTCCATCTTAACTGCCAGTCATCCTAGATATGTAAGAAACATAATAGGAAGATTAGGACCCCGGCTGGCTTACACATGCCCATGAGTAACCTTACTTGAAAAATAGCATAAAAAAGACTGGGAGTGTGCTTCAAGTGGTAAAGTTCCTGCCTAACAAGTACAAAGCTGTGTGTGCAAGCCATAGTAGTTTCCCAAAATAAAGTTGTGTGTGTGTGTGTGTGTGTGTGTGTGTGTGTGTGTGTGTGTGTGTGTGTGTATTCAGCCTTTCTCTCCTTGGATTCAACTAACCATGGATCAGAACTATTGGGGAAAAAATTGTGTCTGTACTGAGTAAATACTAATTTGGTTTTATTTATACTTTCGTTTATAATCCCCTACATGAGTTTATGTAGTATTTACATTGTATGAAGTATTTAGTAATCCAGGGATGATTTAAAATATCTGAAAGAATGGATGTATTTTGTGTATGAATACTGCATCCTGTCTGGAAGACACTGTAGGGTTCATGAATTTTGGTGTCTGTGGGGATTGGAAGATCATGAGTTCCAACCAATGACTGTGGACCTTAGATCAATTTATCTAAATGTAACCAATTCAAAGACAGGCCTTCAGCATGTGTTTAACTTAATAGAAGGGAAAATGAAGGTCAGGGAGGTAAAAATAAAGAAGCACCCTAGAGTCACACAGGTACTCTAGTGATTGAGGATGAAGACAAGTACATTGGGTATGCCAACAAACATACTGGCAGTGCCTTCCACATAGTCTTTAATTTTAATTTTTGCTGCCATTTGAGGCTAATTGAATGAAGTTAAAAATAAGTGATCATGGTTCAAGGCCAATCAGGGCAGGAAAGTCTGGGAAACTTTCATTTCCAATTAACCATCAGAAAACCAGAAGTAGGGGCTGGAAAAGTGGCTCAGTGGTAGAGCGCTTGCCTTGGATGCCTGAGGCCCTGGGTTCAATTCCTCAGCACCACATAAGCAAAAGAGAAACCAGAAGTGGTGCTGTGGCTCAAGTGGTAGAGCGCTAGCCTTGAGCTGAAATGCTGAGGGACAGCGTCCAGGCCCAGAGTTCAGGCCCCACCACCAACCAAAATAAATAAATAAAGGTGATAGTAAGTGGGACACCAGTAGCTCACATCTGAAATCCTATTAGGAGGCTGAAATTTGAGGATGTTGGTCCAAAGAAAGCCTTTATAGACAGACCTAAGAGAGAGCCAGTTAGCTAGCAATAAAGCTAGGTTGGAAGCATGGTTCAAGTGATAGAGTACCAGCTTTGAGCAAAAAAACCAACTTAAAGGTCAAGTTCAAGCCCTGGAACTAGCAAAAAAGAAATAGGATATATTTTGTTTAGTATGTCAAAAGTATAGGAGAGGGGCTGGGAAGTTGGCTTAGTGATAGAGTGCTTGCCTCACACGCAAGAGGCCCAAAACCTGGAAGTGGCAGTGTGGCTCAAGTGGTAGGGTGCTATCCTTGAGCTGAAGAGCTGAGGGACAACACTCAGGCCCAGAGTTCAGCCCCCACAACCGACCAAAAAAATAAAAAGTATAGCACAAATATGCCCTAGTGTGCTGTGTGTAGCTTGATAGAGGAAAAGGGGTATGTGTGTGTGTGCGTGCGCGTGCACATGTGCATGTGTATGTGTCTTGCACAGAAGTGGATCCTGGTACTTGCACTCTGGGACTAGGCATTGTCTCTCAGCTTTTTTTGCTCAAGGCTAGTGCTGTAACATAAGCCATAGCTTCATATCTGTTTTTTTTATAGTTAATTGGAGATAAGGGTCTCATGGACTTTCCTGCCTGGACTGGCTTCAGCCATGATTCTCAGATCTCAGCCTCCTGAGTAGGATTACAGGTGTGAGCAACCACTAGGCAACATTTGGAATATTACTGCCAACAGGGAATTGCTTGACTATAATTATAGAATGAGGTGTTACACAATTGGTGGTGACCAAGATGGATGTTTATAATCTACTTGAGCTTCAAAGGGTAAATAATTCACAATACAATGGACAAGTTATCATATCAATTTGAATGATTAGATTCAATGATTATTTTATCTGATTTTTAAGTTAGTCTTGTTTTGCAATATTGATTAATATTTTTTTAATCATTCACATTTCTTATAACAATACTTAGGTTTCTCCTAGCTAATGGAATCCATTTCTTAATGGATTGGTGGTTTTTCTGAGGCTAGAATCTTATTTTCACTAAGGTTGATGTTAAGAAGACAGTTGTATACTTCTGCACTCCAGCATGGGTGGCAATAAGGGCTTCAGCACACCTATTTATGGTGTTCCTGCTTATTTAGATTCTCCCTTAAGACACCAGGAACTGAGGAACAAGACAAGTTTTTACAGAAGTGGTCATCTGATGGGCACCAGTTGCTCACTTGTGTAATCCTAGCTACTCAAGAGCCTGAGCTATGACTATTGAGGTTTGATGCCAACTTGGGCAGGAATGTCTGAGAATCATATCTCCATATAGCCAGCAAAAAGTCAGAAGTAGGGCTAGGAAGGTAGCTCAGTGGTAGAGTGCTTGCCTTGTATGCATGGGGCCCTGGGTTCGATTCCTCAGCACCACATAAGCAGAAAAAAAAAAAGCCACATGAGATGTTCTCAGTTATGCTAGTTCATGTTCTGGCAACAGTGTATAGTTTGGATGAATGTTTCCATCAGGCCCCCTAAAGTTAAACATTTATTCTTTTTTTTTCCCCCTGTTTGGATACTATTTCTAAGAATTGTCATTGGCTAGGATTACAGGCGTGAGCCACCAGCGCCTGGCAATATGATTCGTTTTTTGAGGAACCTCCAGACTGCTGTCCAAAGTGGTCATG